CACCTATGTGCAGGGCCTTCGAATTGCCGGGGAGGGGCTTCTTTCTCTGCACGCTCCCCGCTCTGCAGCCCAGCCCCCGGCTAGGGAGAGGAAGAGGCGACCCTGCAGGAGGCCTGACCACAGGGAGGCACCAAGCCCTTCTTCCCGAGATGACACTGCATCAGCCACCCGTGTGCTGGGGACTTTTGTATGCAGCGTTTCAGTTCATTCTCCCAACAACCCTGTGATATAAGTTCTATTTTCCTCTTTTTCCTGAAGGAGACGTGGAACCCACACAAATGTAGTGAGAGCATAGAGACATCAGTTGTCAGCACGAAGGTCCCTATGAGTTTACCCAATCCAGTGGTTCTCTGTCCTGCACATTACAATCTCCCAAAAAGCTTTTTAAAAATACCAATCTCCAGGCCACTGCACCCCCAGAGAGTCTGAGTTTAATTTGAAGTCTCCTTAGATGATTCTAATGTCCAAACATTGTGAAAAATACTCAGCTACTCCAACTTCTCTCTCTCTTTCTATGGATGGGGAAACTGAGGGCCTGCAGGAAGACTGGACGTCCCTAAGGACACCCTGCATGGGCACCCAGGGCTGCCACAGCACAGCGCCACAAACCGGGTGCTTATAGCAACAGGGATTTACTGTCTCACAGTTCGGGGGGCTGGAAGTCCACAGTCCAGGTGTCGGCAGGACCTGGCTTTCTGTGGGCTCCCGGGAGGACCAAGGTGTTTCCTAGGTGTCAGACACACCACTCTAGTCTCTGCCTCTGCCTTCACGCAGCACTCTATTTTCGATAAGGTCACATTCACTGATCTGGTGGATATTAATCTGAGCAAGGCACTGTGCAGCCCGGTCTACACCCCAACAGTCTTGGCAGAGCCAGAATGCCTACCCAGTCTCCTAACTCCCAGTCCTGGGCGTGGCCCACCACACCTGGTGGCTCCACCTGTCTTTACACTCCTCCTCTCACCCATGGCTCCTATCACGCCCCCTCCCCACCCTTCACCAGCCCCCCAGGACCAATAACCACACCTTTCATGGAGGAAGGACACTGTCCTCTAACTGTGGAATCCCAGAGGGCAGAGGTCAAGCCCAGGACTGGACACACTCCAGAAGGACTTGACAAATTCAGCCACACTGAACTGAATAGGTGACGGTTCCTACAAAGGTAGTGAGGACCCCACTGACAGAAGCAACCAAGCAGAGGCTGGCTGACCATATGTTCCTGTGAGTGGTGCTGTTATTCTCGGACAGTCAGTCCAGCACAGAGCTTTGATAAAGTGTATGAAGTAAACTAATGGTCCAGGCTCTACCACCTACTAGCTGTGTGACCTTAGATGGATTATTTAACCTCTCTGTGCCCCGGTTAATAATAATAATAATAATAATAGTAACATCCATTTCAAAGCATTGGGGGGATTAAATGAGATCATGTATGTAAAGCCATGGACCTAACTTATAATAGGTGCTCGGTAAATACTTAGCTTTTAAAAAAGTACAGTCCTGCTCTAGGTCACCCAGGAGGAGGAAGGCAAACCAGGCCAGAGTCTTCACGGCAATGATGAAAAGAAGAAAAGGATCTGCTAACCACATACGGCACTTCCCTAGTCATGAGCATGTTGACAGATGATGCCACAGCCTTTGAGACGTGACAGTCAAGCAGAGTCCACATTTAAACATAGCTCTGCGTCCTGGTCTGAGAGCCTAAAGGAAAGGGACCCTCCAGTGCAAACACACGGGGACACTGTTGGCATTTGGGGTGGGTCAGTTCTTTGTTACTCAACATGCCCAGCACCTCTGGCCCCTGGCCACTAAATGCCCTTAGCACCACCCCCATTATGGTGTCAGCCAAAAATGATCCCCTCCACACATTTCCAAATGGCCTAAGGAGGGGGGCTGCACCCTGTCATTTTCTCCCTCTCCGGTGGGACCAAACCTCCCGGGGAACAGAAGCCAAGGATGTGGGCTCTTCTCCCCATCCCGAGCATGGCTGGTCCCATTTGGGCTAGGGCGTGGAGCCAGCCTTGCAGGCCGGCATGCCCGTCATCGGGCCCCAGCCCGACTCTGACTCCCCAACCTGCCGGCCGAGCCTGCCTCTGCCCTAGCACCGTGTGAGGCTCACTCCATGGGCCGCTTCCTCCTTCCCTTCCCCAGCAGGGCCCATCATGTGATTCTCATCAAACATGCAGAACTGATGTTGCACGAGGCCCCCCCAGAGGGATTAGCATAATACCCCTGATTTCTCCTTCCCCCCTCCCACATCCCGCTCTCTGTGCATCCCCTGGCTGCAGCCTGCCTTTGTTTCAGGAGAAGCAAAACACTGTGTCTGAAAACGTTACTGCAATTAAATATGCACAAGGCGGGGGGAAGGGAGGGGAAAATGAGGACAATGAAGGATGTGAAACATCAGATGCAGCAGCTGCTTGTTGCTATAGAAACCCTAGCTCCCCACCACCATCAAGGCAGCATCGGGCCCCCCACCCCACCCCACCCCACCCCCCACTGGTTTAAAATCCCCCTAGGACCAAGTGCCCCGTTTGTCCTGAGGTGCCGGGAGATGCGAGACCACAGGGTCCCCGCTGTCCGGGGCAGGAGCACCTGTGGGCCGCTGGCGTTGATTTCCATGTCTTTGCTGTTTCTCCGCACCCCGGCACCGCCACCTCCTGACATAGTACTTCTGATTGGCAGCAGCACCCTCCAGTAGTTCTGCATTCCAGTCCCAGTTACATAATAAATTACGGAGAGCTTCCGCGTCTGACTTTGGGATGTCACAACATGGAGACAAAACGGCACGTGCAGAGTCCAGGGGGGGAGCCAGGTTCCTCTGGGCTTCCTCGACTCCTCCCCGACTGCCGGCTGTGGGGCTCGGCGCCCTCCCCCTTCCTTCTCGTCCTTGTCCCCAGTGCTGAGTGGGGGTCCAAAGAGCTGTGGTCTGTGTGCTGAAAGGGGGGCAGGGTGGGGGGCCCACAAACTCCAGGATCTAGAGGCTGTCAGTTGGCCGACTGCTCATCTGGGAGGGTCCCCCACAAGATGCAGCTCATGGTGGGGTCATAGCCCCAGACCTGGGCCCGCATAACCACTCGTCTGAGGGGAGAGGGAGGGAAAGGGGTGTGGCAGCAGTTCACGGGGACAAGACCGGGGTCTGCGGTTGACTGCAAAGAGGGTGGCGTGATGGGTGGGGCTGCCTCCCTACTCTCACATCCCCCCCAGAAAGTGGATGCAGCCTTCAGCTGGGGGCTGGTCATCTTGCCCTGTTCCACCCCGATGGGTTAAGTCTGATCGCGAGAGCCCCACAAAGTGGAGCAAAACCCCTGGCACACAGTGGGTCCACTCCTACAAGAGAGGTGCAGGCGGAAGGCAGGAAAGAAGGAAGAGAGGGAGGCGCACTTAGGAGATTGTAGATCAACCCACGTTCATTCAGAAGCAAGACACCAGATTGATGACGTTATTTGAAGCCATATTAAATCAATAACTATTATAAAATAAACTCCTAAGACCGTGGAAGGGCATGATGGCTGCCTTCCAGCTGGAGAGGGGGCGTGGCAGGAGCACGGTGGTGGCGGGTCCTGCGGGCTGCATGGCCGGGGCGGGACCACGGAGGGAGCCGCGTGGAAGGTGGTTCTGCAAGTCGGAGCCATCACCTTCCGAATGGGCCGCCGAGCGGGGCGGTGAGCTCCCCAGCCCTCGTGGTAGTGAAGTGAAGGCTGGAGAGCATTTGTCAAAGATGTCAAGCACAGGGAACTTTTCAGCCATGCAGCTCCACAGCTTCCACTGTGGCAAGTGTCCTTTGGTGGACACCTCCACCTTCAGGTGCTGAGAACCTTGGACTTGTGCTCGGGGCAGGAGGCAGGCCGGCCAGGTTGTCAACACCACAGAATATTCTTCCTAGGAGACTGAGCCAGAGCCAGAGCTCTTGTCCTTGTTTCAGGGGATCTTACTCAGCCCCCAGGTAGGAAGAAGCAGATCTCTAAACAACAGGGTTTAACAGGCACGGGGCTGCCCAGAGTGCTTCCCTGGGAGAGCCCGACACCCCATGCTTATCGGGCCCTTCCCGGGGGTTCAGCATGGCCCCTCTCCCCTGCGGCTTCCTCTTAAGCCACTGTCACTACCCAGATTCCAATGCCCCGTCCCGGTGGACACGGCAGCCTGGGGTCCTGCGCATCTGCCTGGGAAGGCGGCTAGCCCGCCCGGGAGTAGGCGGAGGGACCCAGAGTCAGCTTCCCCATCTCAGTCTGGCCTCGGTGGGCGGCACTGCCGTGAGCTTGGGGGCTCCAGTGCAAGCCCCTCCCCGGCCCTCTAATCCAGTTTTCTTCTTTAAATCAGCCCTCATTAGCTCAAGCTCGGGTGAGCCCTGGGACCGGGGACACGGAAGTGCACTCCACCTCTGAGCGGAGTCGTACGTCAGGGTCAGGCACAGCTAAGAGGGTGTGCTGCTGCCTGGGCTCCCGCCCCCTGCTGAGCCCTGCCAGGGACAGCCGTGGCCGTCGCAGTGGCAGGAAGCATAGAGCAAAGCGCCTGTCCCTTTCTCTGCCTCACACCAAACGGGCGTTCAAGCACTGTTTGTTAAATCATCGTTGCGTTTCTGCCTCTCCTCATCCCCACTCCTAGGGTAGCTCGGCCTCAGTAATCGTTTGTTGAGTGAATAAATTATTTAAATTAAGACAAAAGGATTAAGGTTTATTATTTTTTTAAATCCGTACATCCACCTGGGAAGTATTATTTATTTGTACAGATAAAGCCCAGAGAGGTTAAGTATCTTTCCCGAGGTCACACAGCTAACAGTTGAAAGAGCTGGGTTGCGATCCAGGTCTCGATCTGACTCTAAAGCCCACCTTCCTCCTACTAAACCCTGAGACATCTACCCTTAAAGAAAGAACAATTTACTGTAATCTCTGCTCGTCGTTTCGCTTGCGTGTAGAAGACCCCCGTCTATCAGAGATGCTACCCTGCCTTTGAGGTTGCACCGGACTAGGGAGTAATAGACTGTGTCCTGGTTGTGTCTCCAGAAAACAGGTTTTTTATTACGCACCACGGCGGGCTGTACATCTCTGACGTGCAGAAGGAGGACGCCCTCTCCACCTACCGCTGCATCACCAAGCACAAGTATAGCGGGGAGACCCGGCAGAGCAACGGGGCCCGCCTCTCCGTGACAGGTAGGCGAGGGGGCTGGGAGAACGGGGCGGGCTGGGGGGAGGCGCCAGCCCATCCCGGGACCCGGCATGCCTGCACCGCCCCGGGGGGCGGGGGCCTCGGAGAAAGACGTTAAAGAACACAGTCCTGAAACCACCCTGCAGGGCCTCCTCCCGTTGGGTTTGGGTGTCTTTCACATAAAGACTCCGGAGATAAACTCCACTCTCCCGAAGAACCACAAGGGAGGGTTATGGACCTCACCCTCCCTTTCCTGTTTTTGCCTTCCTCGTTAGAAAGTTCCCAGATAAAATCCGATACCCAAACACAGTAACTATTCGTCTAGATTTGGGGGATTTTTCTATTTCCGCAGGTCTCTAGGTGTTTTTTAAGATTCTATCTTATCAATCAGTGCATATGTATCTTTTGTTGCAGGCCACCTCACAACATTTGAAAGTAGGCAGAATATAATTTATGAGCAGCAATATTTCTAAGCTGAATAAAGGAGTCTTGTTCTGGGGTGATGCTAGCTTCTTAGCAGGGCTGGAAGTGGTGCTTACTGGCTCCCCTGTGTACCAGGGACTTCCCTCGCTGCTGTCTGTTCAGGCACCGCAGTAGCCCTGCGAGGAACGTGTCGTTCTCCCAGTTTTTACAGGCGAGAAAACCAAATCTTAGGGAAGCCAGACAACTTGCCCGAGCTATTTAACCAGGGGGAGGCACAGCCAGAATTCAAACTCCCGCCCCCTGGCCCCAGGGTTCCTCCCAGCTGCAGGACCCCATAGAAGGTGCCAGCTGAATGTCCCCATCCATGCTGCCTGCAGAGAGAGCAAAGAAGGCACACGTGCCCCTCCAGGAAGGGCTTTTGAAACAGCGGTTTCCAAACTTTTTTGACAGCAATCCCGAGACAGACATTGTTACCACAGCCTGTGCAATGCATGCTAGTACCTTCTACCACACCCATTGCAGGGCACTCTGGTATTTTCTATTCTGTTCTATTCTGTTTTGATTTTTCTAAATGCCGGTCCAAACTTACCAAATGGATCTGACAACCTGTCCACAGTTTGTGACCTGCAAAAGTTGAAAAATCTCTGTCTTGAGGAAGTGAGACTAAAGTTTAGCGAAGGATCATGAACCCATAGCCGGAACGCCTAGCTTTGGGGATCAGACTCACAAAATCGCACAACCTCGCTAAGCCTCTGGAAAAGCAGCCTGTCTAGGTGGCCGCTCTGATTCTGTGTGCCTCGGGTGCTCCGTGGTCTGTGAGCTCTGCCCTGAGCAACGGCTGACTCTTTGGCACCCCTCTCACCTGCCTGACACCTTTGGAGGCAAGACCAGGAGAACAGGAGCCAGGAGAGGAACAACCAGGCTCACTGATTCACCTTGTGTCCTCAGTGCCTGGCCCTGTGCCTGACACGTAGTAGGTGCTCAGTAAATATCGATGGCATTGATCCACGCCAAGGCAAACCGTGTGCTGTCATACGGGCAGGAGAGGGGGCTGCACTATGCGGCTGACTTTGGATTCCGCAGCCCAGTTCCCTGAGGGTGCACTTCCAAATTATAGGGACTTGTTTGTACGGTGTTTTGCATCTCATTTGCATGCCTTTCATACAATGTGGGAAAGGCACAGAAATCCGCCTTCCTGCAGGCCCTCTCCCTTCTCCTCCATGAATATCTGGCCCCTTCGCCCTCTAATCCCCTGGTTGAACCTCCAGCCTTTGGGAGAATAGGCAGGAGTCCCTAAAAAATAGATACTCTTTAAACGGGAGGATCTGCCAGCCGTTTTCTTTCTACTCTTCGCTCATCACCAGCTGCAAGGAGCAGGGGTGGGTAGGAGGAGACTGAGAGATCAAGCCCAGATCGAGAAACAGGGGTAAAGAGAGGAGGGTACCCAGACAGAAAACAGGAGAGAGGCCCAGGCACAGAGCACTCGACATGGGGAGGGAAAAGCCGAACCGGAGAGAGACAAAGGGAGCTAGGGGAGAGAGGAACGGAGCGAGCTGGGGGAGGGGGCCCCGTGCAGTGATGTGGGCCTTGATGTGATGTGAAGTGACAAGGCGATCTGAAAGCTGCTTGTCTTGGCAAAAATGCAACTGATACCGGAGCGAGCAGCACAGAGTGCAGAGGGAGACCCCACCCCACCGCACTTCAGATCCGCCCCCCAGAGTTGAGGACGGGGGTCAGTCCCGAGAGAGAGGCTGGGCACAGGTGTCGGCTGGGGTGTTTCAGTCTTTAGTGGCCAGAGCCCTGTGAGCTCCTGGGGCTGGTGGCGAGAAGGGCAGGTTTGCACCGGGTCCCCAGCCCCAAATGCAAGAGGAACAGGTGAGAATGGTACGGGCGGGCGGCAGTGCACTGGAGGCGGTTGTTTCCTGAGGACAGGAACCACATCAGCAGGAATCTCTGCAGCACTCGCTAAGTGTTTATTAGAGGTGGAGTGGGGGATAATGAGGTGTATTATTAAAAGGGCATTCAGGAATCGGGCCAGAGTTTCAGTCTCAGCCACGCGGCTCATCAGTTGTGCGAGCTGGCATAAAATAAAGTTCCAAACCTCAGCTTCCTCATCTGCGAAATGGGAGTGACATAATGTGCCGCGCTGGGTAGGTTGTGAGAACAAAGTAGGATGGCGAGGGCAAAAAGCTCATCGTAATGCCTGCCTGCCGCACTCAACAGACAGCAGCTGCTGCTATTGTGGTGGTTGTTATTGTTCTGTCGTTGTGGCTGCATTGTTATTCCCACGACGTTCCCAACGCTGGGGAGGAGGGGGGTGGCGAGGGGGAGCAACTTTCATTTTTCTGCATCTTCCAAATTAGAGGAGGCGGCTGCAGGAATAGTCTGAGCCCCTGCAAACTATAGCCTCGTCAGACTCATCCCATACACCTAGGTGCTGTGGAGAGTTTACCAAGTGCTTTCACGCGCATTAGCTCACTTTGTCCCCGAGGCCACTCAGTGGGATGGGCACGTTTGTAAAGGAGGAAACCTGTGAGCAGAGAGGCTGAGCGACCAGGCTCCGGTCCCCGCAGCTCACAAAGGGCAGAGCCAGGTGCAGAAGCCGAGCTCCCGGCAGTGCCCCGACCACCTAAGCAGGGCGGCACTGCTCAGCGGGCCACAGGGAGTCCCGCAGCCTCCCCGGGGCGCCCCAGAACCCCCGCCCAGCCCAGCCCCAGTGCACCCCACCCCCCGGTGATTTCTCAGGCAGGGCCATCTGTCTCCCCCAGCCCTGCGCTGGTGCTGGCAGCACCCGGTCCCCCCGGGGCTGTCGCCATGAACACGCCACAGCATTTTACTTCCGCTCGGGAGTAATGAAAGAGGTTTCTTTCCCTCAGAATTTAATTTCACGCCTGAGCCTCGGTGATTAATTCCCTCCCCCCGCCCTCGTCCTCTACCGCCCTGACGGCCCCTCCGCTTGTAAATTCTGCGCTGTGCCACGGAATTTGTGTATTTTGCATCAATTAAGTGTCACATTGAGTAATTCTTTGCTGGTGCTGGGTTTGTGTATCTCAACGATTCCCACCGGGTCAGGGGGTGGGGGAAGAGGCCTGGGGCCTGGCAAGGAGGGTGGGTGGGCCCACAACAGTAATCGCCAGCACATCTGCAGCTCCGTTTGGTGTCTGTAAAGCTCTGCGACAGGCATTCTGCCGCTGGTTGCCCGCAACAGCCTTGTGAGGCCTGGGGGCAGCGTCGTCACCTCCGAGGTGCAGATGAGGAAACTTGGGCTCTAGATCATAAGACTCGCCCAGGGTCACACAGCTGATGGGCGGCGTCCCAGGCAGGCCTTGCAGCCGGTGTCCTGATTCCAAGCCTGGGCTCCTTCTGCAGCCCACGGGCGCCTCCTGGAGAGCCCTGCAGGGTGGCAGGAGAGCAGAGTCTTCTGGAAAGTCTTTCTCCCAGAGAGGAGAACTCCCAGCCCAACCCCTCTGCAAGGGAGATGAGCTGAGGACAGAGGAAAGGTCCCCATCAGTGAAGGGGGACCCAGGGGCGCTCGCGGCTCTCAACATTGACTCCTGAGCCACACTCAGCATTTCAGATGGTTGCATCTCCCACCCCACTCCCTGAACAAGAGCCAGGGAGACCTGGTTTCCGATCTTACCTCTGCAGAGTGATCCTGGATGGATCCCTGCCCTTCTCTGGTCTCAGTGCCCTCATCTCTTTGTGCGCTTAAGATCCCCCAAGGCAAGCTCTGTCATTCCACGAGTCTACACAGATCTGCAACGTGAAGTTTTATCCAGAAAACTCAGACCACTGGCCCACCCATGCCTGAGCACCCCCATTCCCCCTCCTTTAGACGTTTCTGGTCCGGCAGCTGGGGGGCATGCAGCATGGGTCAGCTCTGCCTCGGGGAAGACAGGTGTGTGGCCCGCCGCTGACTGCTCGCGGCGGGGAAGTGCTGGCAGCGGTCACCTCTGGGGAGGCAATTGGGGTGTCGGAAGGCATGGGGAGGGTACGCTCTTCTGTGCTTTCTGAAGTTTCACCATGTGCATATGTTACCTGTTCAAAAAAAAACCACGCTGTTAAAATTTTTCTTTTTTAAAAAAAGGGGGACGTTGTTTGAAAATAAAATTAAAGCTCTATAGGAGTCAGCGAGAGTGGCCTAGGGGAGGCGTCCAGAAGAGGTGGGGACACTGAAGCTGGTTTGTGAGAGCCGAATAGGAGTCGGCCAGGCAGAGCAGGCTGGCGGGGCGTGCAGGTGGCCCAGCGCGCCACAGTGAGAGACTGGGATTGCAGGGAGGGGCAGTGTAGCCCGGACAGGACTGGCTGCGCCAGGTGGTAGAAGGCCTTGCAGTTTGGGATGAGGAGTGGACATGGTGTTGTGCAGACGAACAGGACCTATGAAGATTTAAAAGCAGGAGGAGATCCCCAAAGGGCAGAAAGCCCCTGGAGGCCTCTGAGGGTCAGAGCTAGCCCGAGAGAGTAAGACACCACTCAGAAACGACGCAGGCATCACACACAGAATCCTGCCCAGGGAGTCCTGGTCTTCTGCAGTCAGGGCCACAGGCCTCCCGGTCGCTGGTTTGTCTTGGTTTGGGAATGCAAAGCTAGAGGAGAATTGCTGGGGGCGGCAAGTGTGGCTTGCAGAAGGCTGACTTCCGAGTAATTCTGGGTGCCATGGAAATGCGCTGAGCATCCCTGAGTGTGTCTGGAGTGCAGGCAGAGGACAGGGCAGGGGCAGGGCGACCTTCCCCCATCCTTGGGAGGGATCCCCAGGCCAGTCCAAGGCCCAGACAGAGATTATGGAGAACTGCAAACTCGAGACATCACAAAACTGATGTCCAGGTGAACAGCCGCTGAGTGTGGGCCGGACTCCAGGGACGCTGTGCGAAAGGGGCTCTCCCCCCGCTCTCTCCCTCTCCGCACCTTTGCTCTGTTTCCTTTTCTTCCCTCTGTCTCTGCCTGTCATTCTAGCCCTGAACTCTGCCGTATCCTCTCCTGCCCCCAGCCCCGCTGGGAGTCCCGAGCAGGGTTTTCAGGGGCTCAGTCCGGCCCGAGCACAGAAGACGCAGCGAGCCCACCCCGAAACCTCCCTCTGGAGCTGAGCTGAGCCGGGGACTGCTCGCCATGGGCACCTGTGGGCAGCGGGCTCCTGTCTGGGTGCTCACCTTCCTCCCCCAGCCCCACGTCACCCACCGGGGCTGACCGGGGCTGCTGACCCTCTCTGCCTTCCAGACCCTGCCGAGTCAATCCCCACCATCCTGGACGGCTTCCACTCCCAGGAAGTGTGGGCCGGCCACACCGTGGAGCTGCCCTGCACCGCCTCCGGCTACCCTATCCCTGCCATCCGCTGGCTCAAGGATGGCCGGCCCCTCCCAGCCGATAGCCGCTGGACCAAGCGCGTCACAGGGCTGACCATCAGCGACCTGCGGACCGAGGACAGCGGCACCTACATCTGTGAGGTCACCAACACCTTCGGTTCGGCGGAGGCCACAGGCACCCTCACGGTCATCGGTGAGTCGGGAAGCCCCTTTCACAGCTGCGGTTACCTGTCTGTGGTACCTGCATGCCCCGGGCTGCTTCTGGCCCCAGGGTGTCAGTGCTCCACTTACAGCACTCTTTGCCTAATTCCTACTCTTCCTTCACACTGAGTGTCACCTCTTCCAGGAAGCCTTCCTGGACACCACTCTCCTCCCACGTTGGGTTAAGGATCCCTATTCCAGGCCCCTACGTATAACTAACTCCACACTGAGCACACTTCTTTTCATCGCCTCTTTCTCTGTCTCCCCCTCTGGACTGCATGGAACGCATGCTGGGGATGGAGAGCTGGCCTCCCCCGGACCTCGATGGGCTGGGGTTCTGTCGGGGGGCTCGGACAGGGGACAAGGGAGCATCACAGGTGACAAGGGAGGAGTGTGTCTGGCAGCTGCACCTGCCTCCAAACTGTCCTGGGGGACAATCCCGGCTGGGTGGGGAAGGCAGTTTGGTGACCTGGAAAAGCCCTTGGTCTGAAACCAGAAGGCCTGCCTTTTAGTCCTGGCATTCTCAGATAATGACTGACTTAGGGCGAGTCACATAACTGTGACCGTCCGATCCAGTGTCCTTCTCTGTAAAATGGGATAATGACCCCAGCCTTCCTACCTCCCAGAGGTCACGAGGCTCAAATGGGATGAGGAAGGTGATGGTGACACACTGGCCGTGAGGACAGGACTCCTTACCTTGCTGTGGGGAGGCAGCATCTGAACCAAGGGAAGCAATTAGCGAGGACATGTGTCCCCATCCCAGGTGACTCTCAGAATATTCAACAAAAATTGATAGGGGCTCTGATCAATCAGATATGACACTGGGTATAAACAACCGAATCAAGATACCAGGACCTGCCAGCTGGCTGTCACTTCTGGCCCTTTCCTGCTCCTCTCCCTGTTCCTCCTGGGGGTCCAGGGAGCCAGTGTGGAGAGCAGGAGGCCTTAGCAGACCCCTCCTGCTGAGGAGCCCCAGGCAGGCAGAGAAGGTAGACACAGCGGGGTGAATGCCAAGGAAAGACCTAGGGTCACCCCCCCAACACCTCCGCCCCTCCCTGTGTGACCTGGCCTCAGCTTCTCCATCTATAAAATGAAGAGGTGCCTTCCGGCTCCAGCACCCAGAGTCAAACTCTCTGAGTTCCCTGCTCTCTGGGCTGCAGTGGGGCTTGGATCTGGGGACCCTCGGGGAAATCTCAGGCCTCATGGGACAGCAATAGCTTGTGTCCCCAACAGCATCATGAGGGTCATTCAATGTGGGCAGTGGAAAGAGACTGTCCAGAGGTGGCCCCACCCCGCATCCTGCAGGAGGGTTCGCTCTGCCACAAAGGTTGAGCAAGGAAGCTTCCTCCTCCCGCTCCTGTCTCAGGAGCACAAGGCTGCAGGTCCGCAGACCCTCGGGTGGCCCAGAGACCCACCGCAGAGCCCATCCTCTGTCCTCTTGGGCCTGGTGTCAGACTCCCCCAGCCCACATATGGGCCCAGTCTCCTTCCCCACAGTCGGGGGGCCTTGACAGTCGCAGTACTCTTGTCTGCAGTGCCAGGAAGAGGCCGTCCACACACAAACTCACTGCAAAGCCGGACAAGCAGACAGAGCCCCAAGAAATGCCCTGGGAGTGGCAGTGCGTGGTACAGACACTCAGGCCACCATGCTGAAAGCCCTGCTTCAGGGGACTTGGGGCTTCCTCCTGTGCAAACAAGCCCTGGACAGCAGAGCAGGCGGAGAGAAGGACCAGGGTTGGTACACCTTCTTGCCCTAAGCACTGTCCAAAAAATGTATTCTAGTTCTACCTTCACCTCTTTCTGTTACACACACACACACACACACACAGCCGCAGGAAATAGGTCAGAAGGACAACACACCCCAAATCCTCAGAAAATTAGCAAACCTGACTGTAGGCAAATGAAGTGTTCACAGCTCCTGCACCAGGACATACAGACAAGCAGATATACACATGGACGCGGGCATGTATGTTGCAATTCCCATGCCCACTTCCCCACGCACATGTTCACACGTGGATGGTGCCCATACGCATGCCCCCATACACACATCCCTTCACCGTAACGGGCTCATACCCAATTGCACTCAAGCAGATGTACAACAAGTAAAGGCTTCCAGAAGTGTGTACTCCCACACGGCCCTGGAATGCACCTCCTCTGATCCCCGCCCTCACCCCTCCTTACAGTGGCCATGGCTGCACCACCAGGTTCAAGGGGAAGCAACGTGGCTTTCCTCTGTCTTCCAGCCTCTCGACAGCCCCTCTCTGCCAGGTTCATGGGGAGGACACAGTGCTTTCCATACCCCCCCATTCTGCCAAGAAGACCCCCGCCCATCCTGCCACCAAGCTGGTGCAGGAGAGAGAGCCCTGGCCTGGGAGCTCTGGCTGGCGACTGGGACCAGCAAGAGGCCACCTGCCTCGCTGTGCACTGACATTTCCTGTTCAGCGGGCAGAGGCTCTGGGGAGCGAGCAGGGAGAGCCAAGTGTGAGGTCGTGTCTGCTCTGGTTGTGCCGGACCCACACAGGCCTGAGTCTTCCCCTCTCCTGCAGGCTGCCTCACTGGGCGTCCCAGGCTCCCACAGCCCAAGCCCCCGACAGAACCCCAGCCCATCGAGGTCCGGGGGAGGCCAGCTCTCCATCCCCAGCATGCGTTCCATGCAGTCCAGAGGGGGAGACAGAGAAAGAGGCGATGAAAAGAAGTGTGCTCAGTGTGGAGTTAGTTATACGTAGGGGACCTGGAATAGGGATCCTTAACCCAACATGGGAGGGAGAGTGGTGTCCAGGAAGGCTTCCTGGAAGAGGTGACACTCAGTGTGAAGGAAGAGTAGGAATTAGGCAAAGAGTGCTATAAGTGGAGCACTGACACCCTGGGGCCAGAAGCAGCCCCGGGTATGTAGGTACCACAGACAGGTTGCTGATGCTCTAAAAACTCTGTGGCTTTGGTGACAACAGAAGGAACCTAGGAGAAAAGGGGAGCCTTGGATGCCACACTGAGTTGTTAGTTGTGCACACTTTGAGCAGGGACGCGGCTGGCTGCAGCAGGGGAGGGCAGCTGGAGGGAGGCAGGGAGGAAGGCACTGCGTGGGTCCAGGCGGGGGGCTGCGGGCCTGCAGCTGGGCAGTGGTAGTGGGGATCCCAGCAGGGAGTCCATGCATTCGGATCCACATGTAGGAAGTCAGGCCAGCGGAAGGTAGCAGCTGGTTATGTCCACAGGTATAGGGGACGGCTGGCTGGGCTAAGGTGCCTCTCTGGTTTCTAGGGTGGGTGGCAGGGGATGGCCGGGCAAAGGGACACTTCGGGGAAGCTCGGGCCACCAGAACAGGGAGTGCGGAGAGCTCCCTGGGCTGCTCTGAACACATGAGTAGGCTGAGGCCTGGAGCAAGAGTCCCCGTCAGTCCCATCCGCACAGGGCTCTAGAGGCAGAACCTGGGCCGACCCCAGCCGCGTCCGCCCACGGTAAGCCCTCTTTCCTTTCGTGTCCTCCTCCCGCTCCCCCTCTTGCCTGCCCTGCCCCCCCAGACCCCCTGCACGTGACCCTGACACCAAAGAAGCTGAAGACCGGCATTGGCAGCACGGTCATCCTCTCCTGCGCCCTCACGGGCTCCCCGGAGTTCGCCATCCGCTGGTACCGCAACACCGAGCCGGTGCTGCCCAACGAGGCCATCTCCATCCGCGGGCTCGGCAACGAGACCCTGCTCATCACCTCGGCCCAGAAGAGCCATTCCGGGGCCTACCAGTGCTTCGCCACCCGCAAGGCCCAAACCGCCCAGGACTTCGCCATCATCGCGCTCGAGGGTGAGCGGGGGGGCTCGGGCGGCGGGGGCTCACTCCCTCCCGCCTGCTGGGATGGTCCGGGGTGCGCTACACGCCAGGCGTGGAGGGCCTTGTTGTTGTTGTTGTTGTTGTTGTTGTTGTCGTTACCTGCTTCGCAGCTGAGGAAATTGGGGCTTCAGTCCCTTGCCCAAAGTCACCCTGCTCTGCGCAAGGGGCAGAGCTGGGATTTAAACTCAAGTCTCTTCACCTTCACACTGCATTGCCTCTGCCCTCTGAAATGACTAGAACGTCACTATCAGAGGAGTCTTCCAGAGGCTGGAAGAGTGCCAGGGCCTCTGAACCTTTGGGTCCTCTCCCTGCCTGAGGTCTCTTCGTAGCAGGCTCTGCTTCTTACCAGGGACCTGGGTTTCCACCTGTTTCTCTCTCTCCCTTAAAGCTGTCCCTACTCAGGGCTCCTCACCCAGCACCTCTGCATATGGTTGCTCAGGTTGTGCACTGTACAAGTTGCCCAGCCAAGAGGTGAGTGAGGACTGAAATCCGGCTTGCACTCCATTGGCCAAGCCATGGGTCCCGGCTCGGGGCTGTGACCACACAGAGGAGGCACCTCTTCCTCATTTGTACAAAGGCACGGTGGGGGCTAGTGGCAACCCCGTCCTTACCAACAAGCTCAGCTCTTCCCCGGCCCCTCCTTCACTGCTACTAAACACACAAACGAAAGGTGACCCTTCTGAGGATTTTCTACTGTTGTAACAAAGATGCCAGACCCAGGCGAGCCCCACAGAGAGAGGATCCCCCACAGATCTCCCTGCCATGGCCTGTGGGTCCTCACTCCTTGGGAGGCACCAGGTGCCCACTGACCCTAGGCCCCCATGCTCACCCTGGGGGGCACCCAGCAAAACCCGCCTTCCTCAGCCCTCACCTCCTCTTGTCCTGCCCAATCTGGTCTTTTCCCAACAAGCCAGTGCAGCAGCCCAGCACAGACCAGTTCGGAATGAGTGCCTTCCATGGCAGGGGACCCCGGTCCAAATGATTCCCCACCAGGGGCCAGACCACCCCCTCCCAGCTGACTTTCTCTCTGAGGGCCGTCCCCTTTGGCTTCGGTGGGGTAACAGAGGTCCCAGAGCACAGCCGTGATGGCCAGGTGGAAGCAGGCACGTGGGAGAGGAGGGGGTGGGGAAGGTGAGGGACAGCCATGAGGGCAGAGGGGGGGAAAGAGGAGGGGCCCAAGGCAAAGTGACATCCCCTGGCTCTCCCAGCCCCAGGCTCTCCCTGGGTTTTAGGTAAGGGTCTCCCCCAGAAGTTGGGGGCGGGGATGGCAGACTGGCTGACTCTTGGATTAATATCAGAGTTTTGGTGTGAAATGTTAAGTAGGATGTAAAGAATGCCATGTTACATTTGCCGCCTTCTTCTTCTTTTTTTTTTTTTTAATACTTAATGCCTATTTTAATCCTTTACAACAGTCCTGTGGGGAAGGATGGCCAGGGTTAATAATTACACAGCCATGTTCCACTCGAGGAAGCTGGGCACAGAGGTTAATTGTCTTGTCCAAGGTTATTCTGTTAGCCAAAACTTACAGCTCCACCTCTGGGCACCTTGCATTGGCAGCCTCAAACTTCAGGCCTTTTGCTCGCAGGACAGAAGCACCCCCACCCCTCCTGCGGGCACAGTCACGTGCAAAAGGGACAGGAATCGGGCTCCACGGGGCGGGGCCGCTCCACACGCAGTTCCACACAGTTAACTTCTGAGCCTCTGTGTCTTTATTAATAAAGGAAAAGTTGAGAGGAGCTAACATTTATTAAGTACTCACAAAGCCCTGTGCTAAGCATCTTAAATGCAGTAATTCATTTAATGCTCACAATATGCATAGGAGGTGGGCGTGACCGTCATCACTGTTGTCCCATCCTCCAGCAGCAAAAGTTGGGGAGACTCAGAGAGGTTAAGTAACCTGCCCAAAGGCACAGGGCTAACAGGTGGTTGAGGGAGAAAGACCCTAACCCCGGAGTCTTAATCCCATGTGCAGGAGCAACTGGCCCTGCCAGGGATTTGACCACCAGTGAACCCATGCGCGTGAGAGTTGTTTACTATTGTCTCATCCGGGTTGCCTCCTCCCCCGGCCAAGGTGGGGTGGCTAGGGGGATGGGCTCTCCATGGCTCGATGACCCTGAAGGGGGCTCCTCGCTCCCTGCAGACGGCACGCCCCGCATCGTCTCGTCCTTCAGCGAGAAGGTGGTCAACCCCGGGGAGCAGTTCTCGCTCATGTGTGCGGCCAAGGGCGCCCCGCCCCCCACGGTCACCTGGGCCCTGGACGACGAGCCCATCGTGCGGGACGGCAGCCACCGCACCAACCAGTACACCATGTCGGACGGCACCACCATCAGCCACATGAACGTCACGGGCCCCCAGATCCGCGACGGGGGCGTGTACCGGTGCACGGCGCGGAACTCGGTGGGCAGTGCTGAATATCAGGCGCGAATAAACGTAAGAGGTGCCTGTCTACATTTAAATATCAGCATAGGTTTTGAGTTCCTTTGCCATCTCTGTGGTTACCATTATTCTTGTGCTGATTGGTACTTATTATTATTAATCGTCATTTTGATTTTAGTAGAGGTCTCTCTCTCTCTTTCGTCCCCTTTCCCTGCCCTCTGTGAGCCCCATCATCCATGCTGTGTGTGCGTGTGTGTGTGTCGGGTACAGCTCACCCCTTTCCCATTCCCACCCTCCTCCCTCCACCGCTGCCCTCCAAGCTCCAGCTGCCCACCCCACCCTCTAGCCCATGCCCACCCATCAAATCTCTCTGTGCCCCAGGTATGCCACCCACCTGCTAGCACCTGCCAGCCCTGCCAGGGCCTTGCAAGGACAAGGACAGGGCCAGTGAGGCCAGTGGATGCCCTCCAAAGCTGTGCTCCTGGTGTCCTCCCACTGAGCCAGCCCCCCAGTACTCCAGGAGGTGCAAGGAGCCAGGGCATCTTCTCCCCCAAGGCTCCAGCCATCAAGAGCAGGAGCTGAGGCTGCGTGGCGTGTTGCAAGGCAGACAGCCTCCCAGAGCGAGGAAGGAGTCCTTAAGGGGGTTGTCCCCATATCTCAGTTCTCCAAGTCACTGTGGTGACAACAGAGTCGCCTCTGAAGCTCTTTGCAGCCCTGTGGGGTCTGATTGGTCCTCATCTGACCCTTCCAGTGACCCCTGGCCCCAGGGGAGAGGAGGAGGAGGGTCGCAGGGAGGGAAGGGGTGCTAGTTCAGGGGCACTACGGGGTTTCTGCAGGAGCAGAGAAGGGGAGCGCAGGTGGAGGTTCATGCTAAATCCACCGGTGCAAGGTGCCCTACCCACAAGAAGTGTGGGGCTCCCATCTGGCCACCCTCCTGCCCTCTCCTCTGAATTGTCAGGGGGCAGAGCTGCAGGGCCCTGGGAGGTTTCCTAGTCTGGCCCCTTGTCTTCTGGATGGGGACTTAAAGCCCAGAGAGCTCTTGTACCCACTCGGGCACTGCCCCTGCTTGGTGGCCTCCAGGCCCCATTTGCACCCCCACATTGCCATCTGTCTGGCTGACCCAGCTACGGCCACTACCTCCCCCAGCCAGTGTGACCAGAGCCCCCCTTCACAGCCCCTTCTCAGGGCCCTACAATACACATTCACCTGGTGAAATAAAGCCATCAGCTCATCCAGTGAAGACCTCCTGTTTTCTTTAAGTAGTTAACACAGATAAGATCGTTTGGGGTAGGAGACCAATATGAGCATGTAGAATGGAGATAACAGATTCTCTACATTTCCGCTTGAACCCCAAAGCCTTAATCTCTCCACATATGAGGACTTGCCCCCCCAAATCCCAGTCACTTCTTGGTGAGGCTGCAGTTTGGTCATGTACCCAGTCCCCCTAGGGGAATGGCTCTTGCCCCAGGCAAGAGGATGTACTGTGTCTGCTTGCAATTATTTGAAGATAGTAACAGTGAGTCCTGGAGAGACCACGGGTGTCCCTCAACTCCGGCCTCCGCCTTGAGCCCTGTAGAAAGGCGTCCCTTGATCCCCACCAAATGCCTACCCCCTGGCAGTCTCGGGCCGAGCACCCGAGAAGAGCACCACAGGCGGTGCCCGGCTGCCCCTGGCTGACGGCACCACTTGCCCCTCCTCTCCTCCTGCTCCCTCCTGACTCCTGCCAGGGCCCCCCAGCATCCGGGCGATGAGGAACATCACAGCGGTCGCCGGGCGGGACACCCTTATCAACTGCAGGGTCATCGGCTACCCCTACTACTCCATCAAGTGGTACAAGGATGCCCTGCTGCTGCCGGACAACCACCGCCAGGTGGTGTTTGAGAACGGGACCCTCAAGCTGACGGACGTGCAGAAGGGCATGGACGAGGGGGAGTACCTGTGCAGCGTCCTCATCCAGCCCCAGCTCTCCATCAGCCAGAGCGTCCACGTGGCCGTCAAAGGTAGGTCTCCCTCCCCCGCCGCAGCCCCTGCCCGCCCTGCCCACCTGGCCACCCAGGGTGCCCAGGCCCCTCTCCAGCCAGCCACCTAGGCGGCAGCAGGCAGTCTTGAGTGAGTGGAAGGTTGAACTCGAGAGGCCCTGGCCTGGCATCCAGAAGAAAGGGGGCAGGGTAAAAGATTGGGGTGCACACAGAAGGCCATGAGTGCCTCTACATCCGGGTCCCTCTGCAGGCTGCAGGACAAGGCAGCCTCACCCCAGGGGCATGAGGGGTCAGTCCCAGACAAAGAGGAAGCAGGTCGCCTTCTAGGCAAGAGGCCAGGTCAGAGATGGTGGGCTGCATTATGCCCCTGAGGTCAAGATGAGCCCCCCAGAACTCAGCAGAACCACACAAGGGATCAGCAGCAGGAGGCCAGGGTAGAGGAGCCCACACTGGGAGCCCTGGCTCGCCCCTGGGTCATAGACTGGCCACCCAGGCTGCTCCTACAGGATCAGGAAGGCCCTTCCATCTGCTATCACTGCTCGAGGCCTGGAAAGCTCTGCCCGGTCCCTAAAAGCCTCCTTCCTGGGCCCTTGATGCTCACCTGGCTGAGGTCTATGCCTCCCGCTGACACAGGGTGCCATCACTAGGTCTGTGGGTCAAATGAATGAACATAAACAAGCAAATACAGGAATATGTGAGTCGGTGACGACATCCCCTTGGTTCGGGAGCTGTGCAGGTGTGCGAAGCCCCCAAGACGTTCTCTGGGAGTGACGGGACTGGAGACCGCCTAGACAGTGAGTGAGAGGGTGGCCTGGGTCCTGCTGGGCCTGACCAAGAAGGGCAGTGAGAGCCAGGCAGCAGGTGGGGGTCACGCGACAGGTGCGTAAGGGGCCTATGTCTCTTTCTGGAGAGCAGGGCAGGGTTGAGAGCATGGGGAGGAGCTGTCCTCTGCAGCATGGGGCCCCAGCACCAGGCTGGGATCTCTGTGACAATCTGACAGGCAGCACTGCAGAGGGCTGCTCCATGCCCAGTCCCTGTGCTTGATGCCCTCCATGCGTGTTTTATTTAACCCCAAAGCTGCCCGCTTACCTAAGGCAGGTCCTATTTCATCCCCAATTTCCAGGGCACAAATCTGAGGCATGGAAAAGTTAAGTAAACTGCCATCTGGAGGCGGAATTTTTCCGGGTCTGAAGAACTGCCCAACCTGGGCTCTAGCCCAGAATGGCCCAGAGCTGGGGGAAGGGCAGGAAGCGGGGAGAGGAATGTTCACTCTGTGCTCCACCCCAGGAATAAAGAACTAGAGATTGTAGGATCACCTGAGAGGGAGATGGAAGAGACAGTGCCATTGGGAACTCTGAGAGCCCCTGTCCCCTGGGCATCTGTATCACCCCTGCAGTGGGGAGGGGAAACTGGGAAGACACCCCCCCCCATATCGTTTAGGGCAGAGAGGGAGAGACAGCATTAACCAGGAGAGGAAAGCCAGCCAGGAGCCCATGGGAGGACGGAAAAGAGGAGAAGGCTCCAGGCCCACGCAGGGGCTCTTACCCAGGGCGACAGCCCCGTGTGTCCCAGGTGCCTGGCTGCTGCTTCGCTGCCAGACTGGAAGCAAGACAGAGTTAGGAAGAGGGACATCTGGAGGAGGAAGAGTTTGGAGGTTTGGAGGGACAGAGGCTTGCATTATAGGTTTCAGCCCGCCCAGCACGGATGACTGCGGGGCCTCCAGTGGGATGGCGGGTGGACAGCTGGAAGAACTGAACCGTGGCCGTAAAGGCAGGTCAGCATTTCCCCCGTGCTCCTTGTCATTAGTGCACAGAGGCCGTGTCACATGCATCCTGTGTTCCAACACCCGCCAGAGTGCCAGACAGCCTGTGCTTTGACCTGAAACCGAGACATCAGGCTGGGGGGACTGGCTGACTAGGAAACCTCTCTTTGAGCCCAGAGAACGGGGCCTCTGTGGCCATCTCAGACCCTGACAGCCCTGCCTCCATGCTGCCCTCCTGTTTCACCCCAGCCAGACTGAGGGCCACCCAGGCCACCTCCTCGCCTAATGCCTCTGCCCAGCCCTGTGCCAGCAGGAACCTCACAACCCCCTGGCCACGTCCCCACCCGGGGCAACCTGGGCCAGCCAGCCCGGTGGCAGTGGCACTCAGCGCAGCATGCCTACCCCACCCGGCATCCTGGGGCCGCCTGTATCCATTTCCGTGACAAGCAGTGGACCGAGAGTTTACAGTGTAAACATCACATATTAAAACATCTAACCTTTGCTCTACTCCCTGCACCCGCCCGCGACGGCGAGCATTTGGCTGGGTTTGTTGGCTTAAAAAAAAAATAATAACAGGGCTCCAGCGGCCTCGGAGTACTCGGAACATCCTGAAAGCTGCTTCTGCTCATCAATTATTCAACTCCATTCAGGGAGCGATCAGTCCTAATGAATTGAATCTGATGCATTCCGTCTCAGCGACTCGCTGGGCCTGTTGTGATGGTGCTGAGCGACAGTGTCTCCGCGGCCCAGGGGAGGGGGTGTGGGGAAAAGGAGGAGAGCGTGTGTGTGTGTGTGTGTGTGTGTGTGTGTGTGCATGAGCGCATGAGATCCTGGAGGGCAGGGCTGATGCACTTGCACGTGTGAATCCCAGCACCCAGCACAAGCTGGGCATTCACAAGGCAGGAATGTGTGTGTGTGTGTGTATGTGTGTGTGTGTACGTGTGTACAATGTACAGGCTCGTGTGCACACCTCCCCTTTTCCCACCCTCAGGGTCTGAAAAGTCCCAGAAATCCAGCCACAGGAGGGGTGTAATCACCTGTTTTCTCTCTAGACCAAGAAGCAGCAGGATGTGAGGGGCTCTGAGACCCCGTGCGCCCCCCACAGAAAGCTCAGGTCCCCTCCTCCCCATTCTCTCCCTGCTCCCTCCCCCCACTTCATTAGAATGCACTTTTGCAGAAGAACCATCAGAGCTGATTACGATCACGCTGCTTGATTAGCTGATGTGCTGTTCCAAGAGCTACCCAGGGAGGGGGATGGAGGAGGAGCCCCTGGGCATGGCAAGGCGCCCTGACTGGGGGAGGGAGGCTAGCGAGGAATGGATGGGCCCACCCAGACCCCACTCTCCAGACCCCACTGCTACTGCCTGGCTGGGAAGCGCATTCGACCCAGGATCAGAGCAGAGCGATAGAAAGTAGAATAGGGTGGGGGGGGGGCAGGACACTAGAAGCTTGAGATAAAATAGGAAGTCCCCCCACACCCCCACCTCTCTGTTGGGGGCAGGGCGGGGCATAGCCCATGCTGTGCCATGAGCTGGAAGAACAACTGCTGACTCTGTTCCTTCTGGGACCGCCCGTCTTCTAACGAATTTTTCAAACACTGAGCTGAGAAGAGCAGAACACACCCGACATGAGCACACATGCACACACATGTGCAGAGACCTGTGTGTGAGGACACATGCATGTATACACTGGGACATATATGCATGCACATGCAACAGATGAACACATTAGCCTGTTCACACAAGCATACATGTATACATGCATGCTAACAGTTACATGTATGCCATCATTTCCTCTGTTGTGTCCTCTTATAAGGGGACATTCCTGAGCCATGAAAGGTGGCTGTAGGTGAGACCATATGAAATGGTTTCCTAGTGAGCCTGCTGTGGCCCAGCGAGGTGGGAAGAGAAGAGATCACAGAGGGTGGAGGACACTTGGACGGCTACCTGGGCTTTGGCACATGTAGCAGTGACTGGCGGGGGACAGCCAGGCTGCAGGGGAGGCAGGTGCGTGTCCCTGGCCATCCAGAGAGCTCCTTGGCAGGATGCTAAGAGGAGAGCACACAGATCCAACCTAGATTTGGTGACTTTAGGGCCCCCTGTAGCTGAAAAATAGTGTAGCATAAAAGCATCTCTGGGCACGCAGGCTGAATGTTTAATTAACTAGGAAGGCAGAGCTGCAACTGGGGCCCCTTGGCATTGGCTCAGCGAAGAAACATCTCCATTCCTCCATCTGAGCCTCCGAGGGCCTCGGAAGCCAAAACGAGGGCATGAGGTTACTTTCTGCCCATGCTCAGCAGGGCCAGGGCTGGGAGGTAGTGCCAGGCTCCCGTGGAGAGCAAGTGGAAGAGGGCACACGCCCACCCACACACAGACACCCTCTCCCAAATACCCACACTCATTCTGCCCCAGCCGCTCACTGCAGGGCTTGAGCACTGCTCAGCCCAGTCCCTGCCATATACCTGGGCACCCATGGCAGAGGCCCTGCCCCACCCTAATGAATGGGTCAGGGTTTCTGCGATTGTAGGGCCCAAGACAGAGCCAGCCACCTGGCCGAATGCCTGCAACTGGCAGAGGCAGAGGTTTGGAAGAAACCCCGCTGGAGTCCACAGGAAAGGGCACGACAGGCTCCATGGGAGGGAGGGCATGGCCCAACTGCACTTGCAGGGAGGGGCCACCAAGGAAGCTGCTGCCAGCAACCTGTTTCCCCAGCCAAGGGTACCAGGAACATAGGTGAAAAGCAGCCTCCCGTGGGCCAGACAGGGCTCGTGGCATCATGGTGGTAACAAAGGCGATGATGATGATGGTGGTGATGAAGCTGCAGCAGCATCCATTTATTCATGCGGTGACATTTACTGTGCACCCTCCATAATCCAGGAAGTATTTTAGGTTTTGCAACATAGCTATACTCAAAAAGGACAAAAATCCCTGCCATCAGGGAGATTACATTTTAATTGGGAAACGGATCAAACAGCCCGTACCTCGACGACACTCGTGTCGCACAGGAGCGGGGGTGAGAGTGCTGGGGGGTGGGAGGGGAAGGGGTTTGCCATTTTAAATAAGGTGGTCTGGGAAGGGCTTCCTGAGAAGAGAGGGTGGTGCAAAAAACTGAAGTAAGCTATTGCTATTCCTAAAATATGGGACATGTTAGAACTGGAAAATCAGTGTTAGGCTTTAGACTTTAGTTGGTCCAACCCCTTCATGTTGCAAACGAGGAAACTGAGGCTCAGAAGCAGAGACGGGGTGGTGGGGAGGAGGCAGCCTTGCCTATGGTCATTTGAGTGGGTAGCAGCGTCTGGAACCAGGTGCCCCGGGCCCCAGGCATAGTGTTTTCCCCACCGCATGCTGTGCGGGCGGAGAAGCTCCAGCTTCCCACCGAGCACACTCTGCTAGCAGGTGCAGTAAATAAAAGGCTCCGTCTCAAAGAGATGATGAGAGACACCGTAAAGCATTTATGGTCTGGGCTGGTGGTCAGCACGCCTTCCCCCGCACAACACTCCCAGACCAGACAAGTGGCCATAAAGGCTTTACGGTAGCCAGGCATGGCATGGGCTGCCTCGGCCATGGCATCTTCTCAGCCACTCTGGCCGCTGCACCATTGCAATGCCTTGCTAAAGACTTGCCAGAGCAGGGCTTCCAGAGAGAAGTCCCTGAGTTGTGGGGCATTCACGTCCCCGACATCCAGGCTGTCTGCTGGGGACATGCCGGGACTCAGGGGCAAGAGATCCATGGGCTGGACCCAACACTAAAAAGAGCTCAGATCAGCACTAGGCTGCAGGGGGTGTTTTGCCAGAGGTGGAAATGGACACACACACACAATCAGCTAGCCCACGTCTGTCCCCCGGGCGCTGGGGAAGGCACTGCAGGCTCACGGTCAGAAAGCAGCCCCCATCTGGGCAGCGGCCACACGTACATAAGGAAGAGTCCCCACACCCTGCTTTTACAGCACTCCTGGTAGTTAGCAAACCCCGGACGGAGCCAGGACCCCCGGGCTTTCTTCTCTCTCCAGGCCATTCCCTGTGCCCACACTTAGGGAGTGTCGGAATGCTAGCCCGGAGCTGTGGAGCCCTGAGCAGCGCTGGCCCCTGGCATTCCCAGCAGAGCTCCCAGGGCATGCTCCTCCGCCATGGCACCTGCAGCGGGTGTGGAGGGCGGCGAGGAGCCTGCCTCGGGCCTCCGGGAGGCTGTCCGGCCACCTGCCTCCCACAGGACCACGGCGCTCTCAGGGGCACTGGGCCAGCCCAGCTGAATGTCTGACCCCCAGCGTGGATGTTGGCCACTGTCTTCCTCAGTGGCCTCTGAAATAGCCATCAGTGTCATTCCTCAACACCAGAAGGGAATGACAGCCCCTGGTCGGCCTCTGCCCCTGGGCCCAGCCTTTCCCTCTCCTTCACCCCATATATTCTTTGAAAGCGTGTGTGTTCTTTAATTCTCGGTTCCAAGCCACCTCCTCCATGAAGCTGCAGTCAGTCGCCCACCTGGATGACGTCTCCCTCTGCTCTGAGCCCAGCCTCTGTGCACCCAGCTGGTGCCTGTCCAGTGATCTCTGGGGGAAGTAGCTCACCTTCCCTAGTAACCAGCAAGCTCCCGGGGGCTCCGTCTGGAGTTGAAGCGTGTTTCTACTTTCCCCAGCCCACACAGAGCATAATGCCTTCGCAGAGCAGGCATTTCATAAATATTAGATGAATTAGTTAATTAATGAATTAACCTGCCGTAGTAACTTGTTCCATTATCTAAATCCTTTCTTACCGAGAAAGACAGTCTTCTCCTTGCCTGAGCTGAATCTTCCAGCCTGATTTCACTCTCTCTATCCACTGCTGTCTGATGGAAATGTCCTCCCGGAGCATGGCCTTCCAGACCTCTCCTCCCTCCGCGAACCCCCCCGCCTCCTTGTTGTGCTGCATGTCCTGCTCTCCAGCCCCTCGTCGCTGCCTCCACTCGCCCCTTGCTCATGCTCAAGTGTCCACAGGGCTCTTAAATCACAGCAACCAGTCTGGTGCTGATTGCCAGGGCCCTGCCCCTAGGAAGGACCAGGGGAGAAGCTCCGGGCTCCAGAATCCCGTAGCATCAATGTGGCATCTTCACAAACAGCACAGGGCACCCCTTATGCTGGTGGAGCCCCATCCTGTGCTCACCCCACCCCTTGCCCACCTCACGGGCGAACTTCCCAGGTCACCCTAGGAAATTATATCCAGACATGTGCTCATTCATTTACTCGCCCAGCAAGCATTTATTGGGCACCTACGGTTTGCTGGGTAAATGATAAGTCCTAGCTCCCAGCCCACCAGGGAGGTGGTGACCCAGTTACCCCACTGTCACATGACAAATGCTGCAATCAAGGCATGGACTGAGGCCTACAGGGCTGGCCAGAGGAAGGTGGGCTTCACAGAAGAGGAGGCACTTGAGCGGGGTCTGAAGGGACGAGGGCGAGTTTCCTGGAGGCCTGTGAGGCTCTGGCTTTGGGCCTTTGCAGGAAGGAGGACGAGGCCATAACTGGTTCTTCTAGGCCTGAGGAAACACTGCGTGGCACATCAGGGTCTCTGCAGCAGTTCCATCGGGGAGGCCCGGAGGGCTAGATCTGACCTAGGCACAGACAAAATAGAAACTAGGAGGGGTCAGCAGAGGCCCAACAAGGGCGGGCTCTGGGAAGGCTCAGGAACTGTGTTGAGCCAATGGTGTTGAGCAGCACGGTGTTGTTGCTAGAGTCAGGGTTCCAGAGAGATCTATCTGAGGATGTCCAAGGCCCACAAACCGCTCAGAACACGGGGGGCAAAGCCCCACCCAGAGAAAAGAGGTAGCCAGAGACCAGGATGAGGAGATCCGGACAACAGCCACAGCACCAGAAAAGCTGCTGGGAGTCAGGGCCCAGGTGGATCTGGAATGAGAAGAGTCAAAGCCAGCCGTGAGGACGGCACATGGCAGGAGGTGAGAAGGACAAGTGCCAGGTGTGCTCACCGGCAGGGCGAAGGTGCAGGGCTGTGGGCGTTCACAGCGAGCTGACGGGGCCTGGGGCTGGAGATGACACTGCAGTGGTCATTTGAGGGCCCTATTGAGGGTCGTGGAGGCCACATCCCTCCTAAATGTCACTTCCTCAGGAACTAGAGCTCCTGATTAAGAACTCTCCCAGGGACCCAAAGGGCTGCCAAGGGTTATCTACGTCCACTCCTGGCTGCTCCACGGGCAGCTCCATCCTGAGCCCCGAACATCCTTGGGGTACAGGGAGGTCCTCGGGCATGCATCCAATGCCACCTATCCTTGCCCCTCAGAGCCCGTCCCGGCCTGGGGTGGAGAGTAGCAGGCTTCCAAGGAGGGTGGGGCTGGTGCCTGGGAGAAGGCCAGAGAACTGTGGACAGCCTTGTAATTTAATTATCCGACTGCAGAAAGGAGATCTCATCTACTGGGTGCTCATCCTTGTTAAGCTAATTGTCTGTCTCCTTCACTCTCCTCTCCCCCCACTTGCTGGGGAAGTCGCTGCAGCCTAATTGAGTTATCATAAAGATAATGGCTGATGCTCTAGCCAGAGCCGAGAAAGGAGGATCCATCTCACAGCGACTCCGCTCCAGACAGGCCCCCCAGGGGCTGAGATGTGGGCGGTGGGGGCAGGAGGGAGGCGCCGCATCTCTAGGGGGTGGGAGGCTGAGTGGATGGTGCTTTGCCAGAGGCATCTGACAGCTGGTTGTCTCACAAAAGACAGGGCTCCCTCTCTGCTCTTTCCTGCCACCCAAGGGAGCTCACTGACAAGACACAAGAGTCTCTGGTCCGGGCATGTTTGGGGCTTTCTCAGAGAAGCAACCAAGGAGCGTAGTGAAGAGAGCTTGGACTTGGACAGCAGACAGAGCAGGTTTAAAGTCCCACTGTCACCTCTTCTGAGCAGGGAAACCTAGGGCCTAATACCTCTCTGCTCTGAACCTCAGTTTTCTCATCTGTAAAATGGAGACATTATGGGTGGGAGGATTCAGTGAGATAATATGTATAAAGCACCTGAAACAGTGATGTGAGCTTCCACTCACCTGTTCTAATACTCGGTGACAATGGAGAGGGGCGGGTGGTTGGGTGATGGGCCCTCTGCAGGACGAGATGGGGACACAGCACCCCTGGTTTTAGACACCCCAGGCCCCCAGAGAGCCGTGAGATGTGTCTCTGGGGTGGGAAGGAGAGCACAGGGGTGCTAAGGAGTGGCAGAGAAGTCAGGGGGGAAAGCTGAGCCGGGGGTCAGCAGGCAGACGGGAGTCAAGAAGCACAGGCGTCCACCCAGGACAACTCTGAAGGTCGGAGTTAACGCGGCTGGCCAAGGCCCCCAACAGAGACGGCGAGCCCGGGCCTGGGTGGGCAGAGGGACGGGAGCCAGGCACGGTGGCAGGGCACCCAGGCATGCCCCGAGACTGTGCTTGTGCAGGAGAACAAGAAGGCACTGTGCCCCGGGGAGCTCTACTCAGGCCGCCTCCACAGCCCCCAGGCGAGGCGGGCGAGGCAGCACGGCCGGCCAGGCGGGGCACGTGGGTCTGATAGCAGCACCCCTGCCTTCCCAGTGCCCCCGCTGATCCAGCCTTTCGAGTTCCCGCCCGCCTCCATCGGCCAACTGCTCTACATCCCCTGCGTGGTGTCCTCGGGAGACATGCCCATCCGCATCACCTGGAGGAAGGACGGACAGGTGATCATCTCAGGCTCGGGCGTGACCATCGAGAGCAAGGAATTCATGAGCTCCCTGCAGATCTCCAGCGTGTCCCTCAAGCACAACGGCAACTACACGTGCATCGCCAGCAACGCGGCTGCCACTGTGAGCAGGGAGCGGCAGCTCATCGTGCGCGGTGAGCGGGGCCAGGCGGGCCGGAAGGGAGGAGGGGGCGGGTCTGTCTGCTGCCGCAACCAACAGTTTCTAGATTTCCAGTTTGAATCACAGGCTCATGGAAGGTTGGCTTCAGGAGGGCCCTTCAAGATCAAGAGATCCTAGTCTCTTATTTTCCAGGGCAGGAAAATGAGGCCCTGAGCAGAAGAGAGGCTTGCTCAGTTAGTCATTGGCAAAGGCAGGATTGGAACTCGGTACTCAGCGAAAGCTATCAGCATCTTAGGTTTGAGAAGCTGGCTGCTCCCAACTTTACAATGGTCCAGGCAGGACTGAGCTTGAATGGAAGGTGCCCCAAGCCCAAGGAGACCCATCGGAGATGGAGACGATCTGTTTCTCCCTCCCTTCCCTCTTTCTGCAGTGCCCCCTCGATTTGTGGTGCAGCCCAACAACCAGGACGGCATCTACGGCAAAGCTGGGGTGCTCAACTGCTCGGTGGATGGCTACCCCCCACCCAAGGTCATGTGGAAGCACGCCAAGGGTAAGCCCCTGGCCCGGCCAGCTCTCCAAGTGTGGGGAGGGGAGGGGAGGGTGCTCTGATGGGATTTGAGCCTGTTCCCTGCATTGCAACTTCTAGCCCCGGGTGAGAGTCCTGAGCTTTAGAACTGTCTGTCATCCTCAGCTCCCCCAGGCGTCTGTGGACCAGGGACAGCCGCCATGCTGACTCCGTATTTCCTCTTTTCCCCACAGACTTGGCCTCCCTCCCTCCAGCCCCAGAACTCAGTGTACATCTGCCTTCCCCACCCCATCCTGTCCTGGGCTCCCAGAGCCCCAAAGCCCCCTGCTTCTCACCAGTCAACCTATTCTGGGACCTTGGTCCTTCTTGGAGTCCACCGACATCCCGAGGACATACTGGCTTTCTGACTAAGACCCATGTCCTAGACCATATTCGTGGCTGATGTTGGGGACATGGGAGGGCACAAGGATGCCAGCCTCTTTCCCAGGTCTGGCTGCCTAAGACCAGGCAACTGCCATTTGAGGGCTCAGTCTTCTTCCCAAAGACAGCTCTTTCTTCCTTTCTAAGGAATTCACCCCAGAGAAGCTCAGGGCCAAAGTGGGCACTGAGCAGAGGCCTCCAATCCCACCTCCTTGCCTCAGAGCTGGGGCAGGGCCAGACCTCTATGAGGGTCTTTCCCTTGGCCCAGCGGGAGCTCTGTGGGCTCCAGCGCTCTGGGGATGTGCAGCTCTGCTACAACATGGCCCTAGATCGGCAGGAGAAAGGTATTGGGGCCATTCCCAAGGTGCTCAGCTCGCTCCCCCGTGCAGACCCCAGCCTCCTAACTGCCTCCTCCTTCCAGGGAGCGGGAACCCCCAGCAGTACCACCCCGTGCCCCTCACCGGCCGCATCCAGATCCTGCCCAACAGCTCGCTGCTGATCCGCCACGTCCTAGAAGAGGACATCGGCTACTACCTCTGCCAGGCCAGCAACGGCGTGGGCACCGACATCAGCAAGTCCATGCTCCTCACCGTCAAGAGTGAGTCCTCGATCACACCCCGCTCACAGCCCAAAGCCATCTCGGCATGTCCCCTGCCTGCCCCCTTGGTTTCCACTGCTCCATCTAGGAAGGGGAGGTAGGAAGGATTCCTAGACAGGGGCGGGCTTGGGACCCTCAGACGGGGCATTTGAAAGCACTGTCATCCAAAGCAAGGGCCTCACCCTGAAGGGTCCCAGCTCACCCCACTCCAGGCAGGATAAGCTCATCATCCACTCTACCAAGTATCACATGGCATCCCATTTACTTTGGTCTGCAGATGGGTAGTTCAATCTGCATACTTATCTCAAACATTTTATTTTTACTAATGAATATACACCTGCTTGGTACAGCCTGTTTGTGGCTCAAAAAGGAAAACACCAGACGCACAATGTAGGAGAAAGGTCCATGGACAGAAAACCTGGGCTCCAATTCTGGATCCACCCAATGAGCTGTGTGACCTTGGGTGGTCACCTCACCTTACCTCTCTGTGAGTCATTCTTACCTGTGCTAGATAGGTCTTTTCCCAGCCCACCTACCTCACAAAGTGTTGCAAATAATGCAAGAACTGATAACAGAAAGAGCAGGATGGTTCAGAAAAGCAAAGGAGCAATACCACCCATTATAACTCAGTGCTAAACCCCCAGAGGCAGAGCCAGCCTCAGTGGCCTTGGAGGAATAGATGATTTGCTATCCCAAAATCCTGCTAGGTCGCGCACAGACACTCCTACTGGGCGAGCCGGTCCCTTTGCAGGGGTCTGTATAATGGGTCCCTGGGAATCGTGTCAGAAGGACAGTGTCCGTCTGTCCCTGTGTCAGGACAGGACCTCAGGCCATGGAGGGCAGCAGTAAGAGCCTGTGTTCTGGCTTCTGACCAAGCCAAGTGTGAATCTGGGGGGCTGTGTCTTAATTACCGTGCAACCCTAATGAGTGTACTTGACTTCCCGATACTCCATTTTCCTGATCTAAGAAACGAGGGTCATAATAGCTCCGTACCTGCTATGTTCTGTGTCAAGAGTCGGATGATATGTGGAAAGCAACCAGCACGGCCATCCAAGATGTAGCCAGGGGCTTGTTATTCATAACGCGGTCCCTCCAGGGCAGGCAGACGACAGGCTGGCAGCGGTGCCCCGCGTGCGGTCCGCCCAGCCTCTCCCCGCGGCTCCCTCCTGTAAGAATCGCAGCCGCTGTGTGGCTTGCCAGAGCGGGCGCTCAGCCCCGCACGAGACAGGGAAGCCCCTGCGATCGATGTTCCGGGAGCTCCGAGCCGGAATCCCCGCCCTGGGGAGCCGCTTCCCTCACACTATCAAAAAGCACTTTGTCCTTAATAAAACCAGGCAATCAATCTACATCCCTCAGCCAGGGAGAACTGTGCTGATCCCGGCTGTGCGAGGCAGAGGAGGAGCAGGCGTCTCTGGAGCCCTCCCTGGACTCCGATCCTTCTCTCCCCACTGTCCGCAGGAGAGGCGAGCCCAGACTCTTCTCAGATTGTTGTCGTTGTGATTGTTAATTATTTGGCCTTTGCTCTTTTTCTTGAAGTTAGGGGATTCCGTGGGGCTGCCAGCTCTGTGGCAGGTGGTTTCTCCATGGAGATGGGGGGGCACAGGTGACGGAGGGTGTGCTGGTCAGGAGGCCGGCTGTGTGTGAGGAGACCCAGCCTCGGGTGTCCTGAGGCCCTGGGCGAGTCCCTTCCCCTGCTTCCTGGGGGCCTGCCTTTCCCCACGCCATTCTCACCCCACACCCCAGGCAGCTGCTCTGGAGCACTCTGAGGTGTTCCAGTGGAGCACATGTCACAAACCCAGGCTTCCTGCTGAGCACACGGCACAAAGTCTCACACGTGCGCGCACACGCACACACACACTGGCGTTAACCATGGGCCCTCCCCTTACCAAGTTTCCCTCCACACTAATCTCCCCTGGGCAGAACTGGACCTGGTTCCTCCCTTCCTTTCCTTCCCCTGTCCTCACTTGAGCCTTGTCATTTTTCTTTGCTTCTCTCCTGGTGACGCCCACGACACTCCTGTCTCATCGCCGCTGGGTCTCGGGGACGCCACGGGGTCCGTTTCCCGCTCACGCACCCCTCCATCACACACAGTCCCTCGGCACCCCCGACTGCTCCCGCGGGACCCTTCTCCTGCGGCTGCTTTCCCTTCCTGTGCCACAGACGCCCCTCCCATTCCAGCCGCACTTTCCCCTGTGACCCGCCGCAGCCATCCCGGGGCCGCTGTGCAGGGCCACGGACATCTGAGGCCCGAGGAGGTGGCCGTGGACGGCTGGTATGGCCAAGGCCTGTCCGGGCTGGAGGCTCTGACTGCCTCTGTGCAATGGCCTGAGGAATTCTGCGCGGTATCTGGCTGCCGGAAGATGCCCCTATAGCAATGGGGCACTGTTGAGGGGTAGGAGCAGGCACTGGGGGTGGGGTGTCAGCACACTCGACCTTCCTTAGAACGTCCATCCTGTCTCCTGCTTCTTCTAGGCAGGCGCTCTGTTCCAGGCCACCCACCCTCAGCTACCCCCAGCACTGGCTGTCCCCCTGCCTGCTCCGTCCTTTTCCTCCTTCGTCCTCCCTCAACCTTACAGCAGCTCTCCCACACCCCCAGTATGATTTAGATTTAAGGGCACAGGTATTTCAAACCTCCAGGACCTGGGTGCATGGGCCATCCATGGGCTCACCGGGGAAACCACCTCTAGTCATCCTTGATCCATCTCAAAAGCCCACACCCCCAACCCCCCCCTCACCCATTTGCAGAGCTGGCTGCAGAAGGGCCTACCATCTCCAAGGCCAAGTTCAAGGCTTGCCTCAAGGCCTCTGACACACTTGGGAAAGTTTTGACCCAACACAGCTCTACCTATTCAGACCTCACACTTCTGCGAACTCTCAGAAGGCAAACTGACTTTAATTGCCACTTTACACAAGCAGAAGAAGGAAAAGTAAATATATCAAAGGGGAAAACAGCAGAAAAATGATCAAAATGTCAAGTTGGACATCCGTGGTTGGCCTCCTTTGGGGAGCATGTCCACCATTGGTGCCTAGGACTTCCTGTGATAACTCAGCACTCACTAAGTGGTGCTCACCAAACACTCACGAAATAGGCCAATAAAGCCCCATCACTAAGAGCACAGACTTTAGAACCAGATGGACTTGGGTCCAAATCCCAGCTCTGCCACTTGATAGCTGTGAGATCCAGGACCACAATCTCCATAAGCCCCAGTGTCCTCCTCTACAAGTTTGGAATTGCTGAACAATACTTTTCACTCATTGGTAAGGTCTGCCATGTACTTAGAGCAATGAATATAATACTTGGCATAAAATACACACTCAACAATTGGCAGTCCTTAGTTTTGGGTGGTGGAAACCTAGTGATGAGTAAGACAGAGTTGCTGTTCTCGGGGAATTTAGGATCTTGAAGAGGAAATAGACAGATACCCAAAACAACTATTATACACAAAATGATAAGTGCCTTAAAAAACTACAAACAAGGTGATACAAAAAGAATCAGAGACGGAGTCATCAATTTTATTAATAACTCTAGAGGCAGAGAAGGGGTGTCAAGAACAGCTTCACAAAAGCAAAATAGTTGCTAAGCGGGACTAGAAGGATGAGCAGGATGCTGACAAGAGCCAGGAGGGGTGGCGGCCATGCCCTTCCAGGGGGCAGCGCCAGCACACGCAAGGCCGGGGAGGCAGGCAGGTGCGCGAATGTCCTACAGCGAGGTGGGAACTGGGGCGTCTGGCAGAGAGAGAGTGGGGGGAGGATGAACGGTGAGATGCTTACGGGCTGTAGAAGCTAAATGTATTCTGTCTACGTAGAGTTGACTCGATAGCAAGCTCCAAACCAGAGTTCCAGGGGCCCGAGGGTCTGGTGCAGGTCGGGATTCCCAAACTGTTCTTAGAGAATTGCTATGCAGAACCCTCCTAGGGGCCCCAGGGAGCTAGGGGTTTGTTAGCATGGCAGATGGTTTCCCAAGTCCTTGGACATCCTTGATGGCAGCCATCCAGGCCCACGTGGCCCCCACTCCTCCCTGAACCCTGTCTCCATATGGTCCAAGCTCATGAGTGCCTGAGCATACAGCCCAGCCTCACCACCTCCATGGGCAGTACTTTACAGTTTGCAATGCTCTTTCTATACCTGGCCTGTAAGGGTGGCAGGCACTCACTCCTGCTCAGGGAACTTCAGAGACTGGCTCAAGGTCACTGGGTAGTACAGTCCCAGCTGAGACAAGAACTTGCCTTGTGGACTCCCAGTATGGTAGGAAGAGCACAGGCTAGGAGTCCACAGACTGGATGCTGGGCCTGTGGCTCACCGGCCATGCATCCGCAAGCTGGCCTTTCCCTACTCTGGGCCTCGGTTTCCTCATCTGTACAATACGAAACCTGAGCTAGAATCTAGTCACTAGCTGACCCGAGGTTCCTTCCAGCTCAGACAAGCTGTAATCCTGGCAGCATGCATGGTCTTGTCAGGGCACCAGACCACCTCCCAGAACTTGGTTGAAAATACATGTAATTAACAGAAGAAAATGCCACGTCCACAGAGCTGCCTTTTATCTCCCTTTTAAAATATTTTTAAAAAGAGATAATGACCCAAAGGAAGAGGAGGCAATTCCTCCTCCAGCTGACACATGGGGAAAAACTGAAACAGCTTCAAAGAGAATTCTTCATGGAGAGGCAGGTATGAAGCCAGGCTGCTCAGGCTGGCTGGGTTTTGATGCTGCGTCTCGTGGCGGCACCTCCCGGGACTCAGCCGCCCCTTATGCAGCTTGGGTTTACCTTCTAAGACTGGCCTGTTACACCCCAAACTCTCCTCCACTCTGTGCAGGTTCCAGTGCCACAGCAAAGCCCACGGCCAATTAAGCCCATAAGGGCTCTTTGTTTGGTTTGAGTGTTGATTTATTTGTTTAGCAAAATGTCAGGCCAATTAAAGCGGGATCCAAGTGCCCTCGGCAAGCACACACCCCGCTGCAGAGTCACGGCAAGTCTTGGGGAGAGGAAGGAACCCGACTCTAG